GGGTGTTCAGCAGCCTCCTGTGGTTAAAACCACTTCGATGCAGACTGTCTGTCCTTGCATGCACATCTGTCTGTAGGCAGCTTTCGGTCTCCCCAACTACTGCTTTGTACCTCAGTCCATGACCAAACTGTAGATAAGTGAGCAAGGTCTCAGTTACCACGATCATATGCAGCCTTGTACAAATAATTCATCAGCTATTTATAAGTAATCAAAATTGTGTGCATTCTTTAGTAAAACAAAAACTTTACAATTCCTCTAAAAAACAGTCAAACAAAGAAGCAGAAATTGGGATGCCTAGGTTAAGTACTTAAAACTCTGCATCATCAACCCAAACAGATAAACAGAAGATAACAATTAATTCTTCACTTTTGCTTTGTATCAGTGGGTTCTTCTTTGCAGTGGAACTCAACAAAGAACACACACCTCCCTCAAACACACTGTAATAGTCACACTGTCTTTACAAATAACAGCTCTTCAGCTTTAATCAATCTTTATACATGCCAAACCACTGAAAATTATGGAGGTGTTTTTGAAATACAGCAATGTGCTTCCAAATAATCTGACTTGGAAAAATTAAACCAAATTAAGTAAGTTTTTGCTGCTTCAGAACCCTTTCTATTAAATTCAGTTTTATGTATTTTCACAGCTCATGTTTGAACAAATCAGATGCTTCTAACGCAGTCTTCTAGTTTGAAGAGCAAGTAGTGACTTGCAAATAGCTTGTTGCATATAGGACCTTAACACTGGCATATCTTAAAGTACTTTTTCCTAATATTCCATTGAGCTCATCTAATCAATTGTAAAATATGAAATTGCATGTAACAGATTAATTTTATCAAGATAAAACTGCAATATTTGCAGCCCATTTGATACAACCAAGAAGCACTTCTGATTTGAAAGTAACAATCAGAAAGGGGCAAGAATTCAAAGTTCTAGGGTGGATTTTTTTTTTAGTTTTTGAGTAACACAGACATACAGACACACAAAATAAACCCAAAGAAATTCAGTCTCATCCGGTTTAACACCAACCACGAGACACTGCTGTCTGTTTTCTTTCTTAAAAGATTCACGTCACTGTGCACTGAAAAAGGGAACTTCCACAGTCTGTGGTGAGGCTACATGATAAACAGACCCGTTCACACCAACCAGAAGGGCTGTCTGCGTCAATAAAAGGTGGCAGCAGGCAGTGAACTGACATTTGGCGCTTGGAAGATTGTTACTGCAACAGTCGCTTCACATTAAAGTGAAGTAACATGCCAGGATTTTTTTTCCCCCACAACAACATGAGTGAATTAAATGGAAAAGAAGACTGCAGGCTTGCAGAAGACAAAATCCATAAAAAGAAGCAAAAGGCTTTGTAAGTATAGACATCTTAGAGTAAACCCTAATGTATTGGAATTAAAAATAACACTAATATCATGGAGTTTAAGATTTACCACTGTGGTTTGGGCTAGATAACTGCAAAACCTGCTCAAAGCCCAGGACTACAGCATCATTGAAAAATGGCTTAAGCTGATGCATACTAATTATTTCATAGACTTCCTTAAGTAATCAGGAGTAGATTTTGGATACACTAAGTCTTTAAAAAAAAAAAAATTACTTAGATACCTAATTTCCAAGACATCAGCCATAGGATGGTCCTGTCTGCCTCTGTTTAAAAGGTTTAAGTAGAATTCTAAGTAGAATTGAAATGCAACGACAATTTTAAAGGATTACAAAAAACATCTGTTCTTTGTTTTCAGTGGTGCAGATCTCAAAAATTATTTGAAGTGCATAGTACCACATACTGAATCTGGGATCAATACTTCTAACTCCAGAAATGTCATGTAAGTACATATTCCTAGAATGGAATAATGAATTACAAAACTTGTCTCCTTTAAACATGCAGACAAATCTACATGGTTTCTTGCCTAAAGTCTTTTCTTTTTTCTTAGGCTTTCTGCAGAGGAAGTAATACAGTGGTCCCAGTCTTTGGAAAAGCTCTTGGCCAGCCAGAGTAAGTCTATCACTTCATTCTGACCTTGTTCTTATTCTAAGGATAAAATTTTGTCTAATCTCACCAAAAAGGCAAAGCTGTATCACTTAGCCAACCAAAAAAAAAAAAAACAAAACCCTCTCAGAGGATGGCCAGCTGCATTTCAGTTATTTACAGCTCCCCTGTAACATGGCTACTGTTACAGCTTTGCTTCCAAGTTTGTGGTTTTTCCTTCCACTTCTTACTCCAAGTGTAGCAAATAAAGCCTAAATAGCTCAGTTCATTGCTTTTTGATCCATCTTCTGTCCTTGTCTCAGTTTACTTTGGAATTTTCTCTCCACTTGTACCCTAAGACAATCCTTTTAGGGAGACTAGAATCCATCAGTGTATTTTGGTACCCATGGTCTAAATCTAAAACCACTGAAAATAATTAGGAAGACTCCCATCACCCTTAATGTTAAAGTTTCTTTAATAGGTATGTTATAGTGAGTTGAAGAAAGGAAGAATAGTGTATTTGGGCAAGATTTTATAACACAGATTTCAATATAACTGCCATTTATTTTATCCTCACTGTTCACAGATATCATGCTATAAATGATGATGTATTTGTATTTGCTTTAGGTGGTCAAGGTGTCTTTCGGGAGTTCCTGAAGTCAGAGTTCAGTGAGGAAAACATAGAGTTCTGGTTGGCTTGTGAGGATTACAAGAAAACCAAGTCTGATCGCTTACATGGCAAAGCAGAGAGGATTTATGAGGAGTTTGTTCAGTCGGATGCTATTAAACAGGTATGTACAAAGTTAACCTGTGTACTGTTAAAGTGCAATAATTCTGGAAAATAAGATAGAAGTGTAGCTTCACCGAGATGCTCATGCATTCATTCAATACATCAGATGAAGACACAGATGCATGTTTTTATGAGTGTACTTGTGTCACTGGTGTCTTCAGCTATGAGAGCATTAGATCTCAAAGGAGAGTCACAGAATACAGGCCTGTACTTGGGAGCACCACTAGCAAAAGCTCAGCAGAGGCACCAGCAGCTAGCACATGATGCTGTTCTCTGAATCAGCCCAGTTTGAGTTACTGCTGGTGTTTGGAGTCAGATACTTCGAGAGAACTTTCCTGGTAGGAGAGCCACAGAATAATTATTGTCTATTAAAATATGTGGACATTCTGGAGAATTAAATGTTGTGTATGTTGATCATATTTGAAACTGCAGACTCATTCAGCACAAGATATCTCCTGTTTTAATTGGAGGCTATTCCTCCACTTACTGCATTGTTGAGTTATGTTATTCTGACTCCTGAAGCAACTGCAGTTCTATAGTCAGTAGAAATTTTTGTGTTCAACTGAGATATAATCATTAAAATTCCTTCATTTTGCAGTTCTGATATTGAGCTATCACACTGAGTTCTAAGGTTGCAAATGTGTTTATTAACAAAGTAATGCAGAAAGAGAGTACTTTTTTAAGATGCCAATGGCATTTGTTTTTCCCTTTATAGATCAATATTGACTATCAGATGAGGGAAGCAACAGCCAAAAGGGCTCAAGACCCAACTCACACAAGTTTTGATGAAGCCCAGAAAACCGTGTACATACTCATGGAAAGGGATTCCTATCCCAGATTTTTGAAATCCAAAGCCTACCTGAACCTGTTGAACCAACTGCAGACCAACACTTCAAAATGAAGTGTTTGAGGCAGTGAAGAGCCAAGTAGACTCTGGGTCAAATATTCTGTGGAGAGATCCTTCGGTGTGGTTGGATCTCAGCAAGAAGGACCCCTGCCTTGCCAAGAGGGGTACAAGGGAGATGCAGTCAGTTCCGCTGCCAAGAGGATGCAGGATAAAAGCTGGCGAGATGGTTACAAGGGTGAGAGCAGCACAGGGAGAAAATCCTCTTCTCCCATATGCCATGGAGTCAAGACAGGATACACAAACTATTTATTTTTGAGCTACCCTGTGAACTTTGAACCAAGTCTTAGATACCAAAGAACTACTGATTGTTAGGAAGTACAAGACTAGCAAGCTGAGTGTTGGGAAAAGATTATCAAGTTCAGAAGAACAATAAGGACAGGTGATGATTTTGTGCAAACAAGAAAATGCCCAGACAAGACTGATGAATGACTTTTCTAAATCTGTGATGTGTTAATAAGTGAGTGCATCTGAATGATGCTATTGTTCTACGTAAATATGTTTTAGATTGACATGTCTTAAACTTGATATATTTTAAATTATGTAAGAATGATATAAGCTGTATTTCTACTAAATTCATATTCAACCAGCAGGTATGTAGCATCTTTTCTGTTTAATTTATTGCAAAGTAATATGCAACTGTTCAATCAAATCTACTTAAAAATAAAGTTTTATGGTAATTTTACATCTTATTTTAAGTGATCTTTCCATTGTAATTACTGAAGTATTGAAACACATTGTTCCCTTCTGTCCCACTATGTCACTACTTCGCATCTCCTTACCTGAATATTCATTTTCCCCATGCTATCTTTTCTCTTTTTTACTCATTTTACACAACCATAATCTTAGTTATCTGGAATAGGTGATCCTGAATTGCATAGACACATGCTCATGACCCTCCAGAAGAAAACAAAACAAAACAAAACAAACAAACAAACAAAAGAAGCAGGTCTCAATTTCCTTCCTGTTTTTTATAGTCCCCCAGCTTACCAGCAGGCAAGACAAATCTCAAGTGTGTAAAACATTTAATCACTGGCCCTACAGTTCAATCCACTTTGATACTGATGTGTTGAATACAGCAGACTACCCCTAGTTGATTACATAGAGAGGTAGGAACTGGTGAGACCCACTAGCAGTCACATTTCTTGTGATATTAGAACTTCTCAACCTAATCTTGGCAAGATTCAGACTCTAATTTACAGTTCCAATACTAGTATCAAAAGTCATTTAATTTCACTGCAAATGTTGCATTAAATTTGCTTTAAAATATGCAATGTTATGAGTAGCCTATACCATAGTGGGTAGTGATGAGAACTAAAGTAAAACAAGAAAAATTGTAATTATGCTTAACTATGAAAATGGGCTTTACCAAATCTGAAGCATTTAAGACCTTGTGACACTGGAGTTCCTAATGAAAATCAGTCGAAGCATGACCTGCTCTCAATGAGTTACTATCATGAGACACAGCTATCAGGCGGGTGACAAGATTTTATCTCACCCCTGAGGATTTTCCATTTTTGAAAATAACATAAGTTTAGTCAGGCACACTTGATTATTCCATACAAAATGGAGAAGCTGTGAAAACACAGACGTCACCTCATGGGGAGCACAGACCGTATTCATACTGCCACCCTTTGGGGACCTCAGGACCTCCAAGGGAAGATAAAATCTTCTGCGTTACAAGCACAACTGCCGGAAGGAACATAGCTGAGTTACTGTTGCTGCCAGTTTCCACCATCACCTTCTGTTGTAGCTGGAAGCCACAGCAAGTCACATCTTCCTGCTTCCAAGCCAGTAAATGCAGAATGAAAAGAATCTGATCCTGCAGGATTATTTTCCTTTTATTAAACATGTGTTCCTGAGGGAGATTCTGGCTTCAAAACTTGAATGCTCCTGAAACAATGCAAAGCAATCTTCAACTGGCACACTCTTACATCAATTAGTTTTCCAGGATCAGTAGGAATAAACCCAATTCCTTTAAATTAGGAATAAAAACTATGCCTCCCACACAATTGGCATCCTCCTGTTTGTTCTGACACAGTTAACATGGATCAAATGTCACTGTTTGCATAGCTTCAACCTCACAGAAAAGAGAACTATGAAATATCAGTTACTCTCTAAACAGACATTGTCTGCAAGTAACTTTTTTTTTTTTTTTTACTGTAAATCCCTTAAATTAGGATGGGCCCAGTCTTCATTTACTTCCCCTGCAGTTTCACAGTTTCACCATGATTTATCAAAACACTATTTTATAGTATTTTGTATGTCTATTTGGGATTTATTTTATTTTTTTTAATGGCTAGTTGGTGCCAGAGAAGACTGCTCTTCAGAAGCAATTTCATCTATTGTTGGAGAGACTGTTAGGCAGGGTAATGGATGGATCTGTGTTTCCAGCTCAACATAGGTCTCAGAGGTGGGTATAATGTAAAGGAGAGGGCAGACTCTGGAATCACACCATGGTTTTGGGTGCTGCAGCAGCCACTGCTCACTTCAAAAGATGGCCAGCATAACCACTTGTACCCACTGCCTTGTAACATCTCATCAAGCAGAGCAAATATTTTCACCAAAGACTGAGCACAACCACCACAGCTGCTCAGGTATTTACAGATGTTGCCTGGCACCTTGCACCCTGAACTCCTGCAAAGACTCACCAGCACTCCTGCACTCACTCACTCCCTAACAGGAAAGGGTAAGAAAGTAGCAGTATAACAACATGCTGATTAGAGCCCCTTTATAGAAGAGACTAACACAGCTCTCAGGGAGCACACCAACCACTTGTGTTACACAGAGCTAGTACAGACCAGAATATTTGAGGAGGGAAGAAGAAGGGACCATTCACTCTTTTCCACCAGCATCTGTTCACGTGGGGACAGTGTGAAAACAGAAGCTGGTACCGTTTTTTGTTTTGGGGTTGGTTGGTTTGTTTGGGGGTGTGTGGGGTTGTGTGTGTGTTTGGTTCATTCCCCCCCCATCCCCCCGCACCAAAAAAAGAAACAATTCTACTCCTTACAAGCCAGCCTTGGTACATTTCTAAGTCTTTCACTTTGCTTGCAGCAGAAACCTGAAAGCAACTACGAAGGTAAATCTCAGGTTAATTTCAGAGATATTTCACCCACTCCAGTGTCCCTGGCAACATGACCACATTTCACCAAGCAATAAAGGGTGCAACAGAAATTCAGAGCTGTCTGTGGGATGCTGTCGTAAGGCTGGTATTAGATATCTGTTGCTACAACAGGGCTACAACAAGCTGATTGTTTAAACAAGGTCCGAGAGATCTGGAAGTGTTCTATGGCAATTTATAGTGCCATCCATACTAAGCTACTTTATGAAAAGAAGCAGCTATAAGTAATAGTTCAAAGGTACAATTGAAACAATTTTTACAGTATTTTAAGACATTTAATATTTGAATGCTTTAAAATGGTCCAGACATACTATTTTCACTATTCAAAATCTCTTTTTCAAAATGCGGTATACAATGCTTATTTTGCACTGAGTTTTTTTTTTTTCTGAAATATTGCCTAAATGGATTTTGGTTGGCTTCAGAAGAACAGCAGAACATACATCTCAAAGGGATTAAGGATTCTGTATTTTCTGTGACCCTGGGTTCACTGACAAGACGCATGCACCATATCAAGTTAATCTGTGATTCCACGCTCGTCTCCTCCCCTCACCCACGCACACCAACAGCCTCAGTATCACAGAGTGGTTTCACAGCTGTGGGTTGTGTCCTGCCCAGCATGGCAGACTCCTCCTAAACAGGACACGTTACACATCAAATATAGAAAGTATGCCTCCCTGGAAACTTCCCACACTCAAAGGGGAAACTTGTAAATGCAAGCTCTATTTACTATCTTCTAAATAAATTAGTAGGCCACTGGGGTAAACTGTCCTTTTTTGCCATATGCTAAACTGAGTTAATGATCAGTAAACTGCTAAAACTTTCCAGAACAATCAGGCTCTAACTGTGATCCAAGACTTATTAAAATAGTAAATATGTATGTCAAAGTGTATTTAATAATTTTCTTTTTTTTAACTAGATTTAGCTTTCCCTTTTTGGAAAAATACAAAAACTACAGTACACAGTATACTACAGATAAACTGAAATTTTCTATTCACAATCTCTAAGAAAAATGGCTGAATCAGATTGGCCATGAGCTGCAGATCAGTACAGGAAAACAGGATGCAGTTCGTGGAGAAGATTTAAGATTTGACAGTAGCAACTTTTCTTTAAGTGTTCTACTTTACCACTGAAGGAAACATTTCCATTGATTGTCCATGTTTCAGTATAAAAATCAATCATTGTACCATCTTTGGGTATATTTTGAAGTGAATTAACTTCTCCCTGCTGCACAGAGAAGTTTTCTTTACAGGACTCAAGAGTCCAGCCACCCTGAATGTGGATTTAGAAAATTAACTTTAGCCTCTCCTATTCTGAAAATGTTCTCCAACTATGTTCCCTAAAATAGACATTTCTAAGATCACAAATAAACTAAAGATATGGTATAGCAGTCTCCCCCATATATTGAAAAGGCCATCCATGGAAGCCTGTTATAGAGACATCCTATTGTTATGCATGATAAAGGAGGAAGGAAATTAAAGCTGATATCATGATGAATGGTACAAATTCATCACCTTAGGTCCCTAAGTGCCACCCATCCCTGCCCACACTCTGAAGTAACAGGCTTTCTGGATAGCATCTCTTTTATGGTTGTGAAATGAGTTTGAAAAGAAAAAAATAGATGACAATAGGTGGAAAAAATAGATGTTCTCATCTTCCAATCAGATATGGGTTGATTGTATCAGAGAGTGTAATGTCTATAAATGAACTTAAATCTTTAGTCATGAAACATGTGCAGAAATTGCAAACCAAGTTCTTGCTTAATATTCATTGAATGCTTTAAATTTGTCTTGGATGCTCAGAAACAAAGTCAGAGAGGAGTTAAGGTTATGCCCTGGCTTTGATTGGATAAATGCAGCCTCAAAGGTTTTAGTCACAA